AGTAGTAGTAGTAGTAGTAGTAGTAGTAGTAGTAGTAGTAGTAGTAAAGTTGGAAGGGAACTTGGAGGTCATCTAGTCCAACCCCCTGCTCAGGCAGGAAACCCTATATACTATTTCAGACAAATGGCTGTCCAGTCTCTTTTTAAAAACTTCCAGTGTTGGAGTATTCACAGTTTCTGGAGGCAGGTTGTTCCACTGGTTAATTGTTCTAACTGTCATTGCTATCTTCAGCCCCAGAGCCAGTGCAGGGTGACGATGAATTGGACTAGGAGCTTGCTGGGGTCCCTACACCCATTCCTAAGTTCATTTGAGGATGTCTTTGCAAGAAAAACAGGAGGAGGAGGAGGAGGAGGAGGAGGAGGAGGAGGAGGAGGCGGGGGGGAGGAAAGGTTACTACTTTGACAGTTACATATCTTGGTTGAGACCAGGAGGAGACAGAAGGGTTCCTACTGCACTACTTTGCGCTTCAAGTATACCTCAAAAATAAATAAGAGTGCGTGAATGTGTGTCTGAGGGTGGGTTTATTTTGCTCCCATCTAAATAATAATAATAATAATAATAATAATAATAATAATAATAATAATAATAATAATAATAATAATAATAATAATAATAATAATAATAATAAAGTTGGAAGGGACCTTGGAGGTCATCTAGTCCAACCCCCTGCTCAGGCAGGAAATTCTGTACCATTTCAGACAAATGGCTGTCCAGTCTCTTCTTAAAAACTTCCAGTGTTGGAGCATTCACCGCTTCTGGAGGCAGGTTGTTCCACTGGTTAATTGTTCTCACTGTCAGGAAGTTTCTCCTTAGTTCTAGGTTGCTTCTCTCCTTGATTAGTATCCATCCGTTGCTTCTTGTCCTGCCTTCAGGCGCCTTGGAAAATAGCTTGATTCTCTCTTCTTTGTGGCAGCCCCTGAGATATTGGAACACTGCTATCATGTCCCCCCTCGTCCTTCTCTTCATTAAACTAGACATACCCAATTCCAGCAACCGTTCCTTATATGTTTTAGCCTCCAGTCCCCTAATCATCTTTGTTGCTCTTCTCTGTACTCTTTCTAGAGTCTCAACATCTTTCTTACATCGTGGTGACCAAAACTGGATGCAGTATTCCAAGTGTGGCCTTACCAAGGCATTGTAAAGTGGTATTAATACTTCACATGAAGTATTTTAAAGACCTCAAGTGATGTGTGAGGGAATGTGGATAACTGGGAGTAAATGTGCTAGCTGGAGTTTGAGAGTATTCAATGAATTTAAAGCGCTAATACAGATATTTAATGAAGAGCCCCTCCTCCTGCTTTTATGAACTTCAGATGAGGCTGTAGCTCCTTCAGGAGCAAAACTGGGGATTCATTGACTTGGCTTGTCAGGTGGCTGCATGACCCCGGGACATAAATATGAGTCAATTCCAAGCCTCTGAATTTTGATCAGACGATCCTGGGGATGTTACAACGGTCGTAAGTGTGAAAAATGGCCATGAGTCCCTTTTTTCAGTGCCGTTGTAATTTTGAACAGTCGCTAAACGAATGCTTGTAACTTGAGGACTACCTGTAGTGCATTTTCACCAATGTTTGTAAACTGCCCAGAGTTGCCTTTGGTGAACTGGGCAGCATATATAAATGAATAAATCAAGTCACAGCACCGATTTATAGGACTGATATTAATGAAGCAGCTTAGTATTGAATGACTAATGGCAGAGAATCAGAGTAAACATCTATTTTTTTTCTTACTTCCTGAAATAACAAGAAATAGCAGAGATCACCCTGTAGGCAAATGTCATGAGCATGGAAAGAGCTTAGCAATAGAAGTGACTAAGAAAGTTTCCTCTTTGACCTTTGTTTTTTTTGTTTTCTCTTCTGATACACTTCTGTGTTTTGCTTGGCTGTTTTCTCTTTTGATACTATATCTTTAGCTCAGGGGTAGTCAACCTTGGCTCTTTTATGACTCGTGGACTTCAACTCCCAGAATTCATGAGCCAGCTTAGCTGACTCAGGAATTCTGGGAGTTGAAGTCCACGAGTCATAAAAGAGCCAAGGTTAACTACCCCAGCTTTAGCTGAAAGGTTCCCCCCCCCCCAGATCAGACTTTCTAAACCTTGCCAACTTTAGGATAGGTGGACTTCAACTCCCAGCATTCCCCAGCGAGCATGGTTGGCTGGGGAATTCTGGGAATTGAAGTCCACCCACCTTAAAGTTGACAAAATTGAGAAATACTACTCCAGATAATTAATCAGGCTTGCCTAATGGAAGCAGATGGGCTGTTTTCTGGCCCATCTTTGGAGTGGGAGCTATACTTTAAAATTCAGAGTTTTTTTCCTTTGCATATGTAATCAGAATAGAGCTGGAAGGGACCTTGGAGGTCTTGTAGTCCAACCCCCTGCTCAAGCAGGAGACTCTATACCAGTGATGGCGAACCTTTTAGAAACCGAGTGCCCAAACTGCAACCCAAAACCCACTTATTTATCGTAAAGTGCCAGGGCCGTATCAGCTTTGTGGTGTTCTCAGCGGGGGGCAGGGAGGCGCCTCTGAGGGCCACCTCTGGCACGCAAAACCCAAAAATGGGCCACTGTGCTACAAGGCGCAAAATGGCCGCCGCCGCACCACAGGGTGCAGATACAAGGCGCTGTACCACGCAAGAATGGGGCGGGGCTAGTGAGTATCACACAGATGCTAGCCCCGCCCCATTTGCAGTACATGCATGCTCGCGGCCCCGTGCGCGCATGCACGCATGTAAAATGCTTTTCCCTCCCTTTTCTTCCAGTTCACCAATCGACAATGGCTGGTGACCTCTGCTCTACCATCTGTACTCAAGCTTGCTAGTCGGCCGCTTTGCCTCCTTTGTGCTGCGCAGGGCTCCTGCTCCGGGCGTCGGTGGCGGCCTGATGGACCTGCTGCTGGCAGCGGGGGCACGCGTGCCAACAAAGAGGACTTTGAGTGCCGCCTCTGGCATGCGTGCCATAGGTTTGCCACCACTGCTCTATGCCATTTCAGACAAATGACTGCCCAGTCTTTTCTTAAAAACCTCCAGTGATGAAGCACCCACAACGTTTGA